TTTTTGAACATTCTGGGATATTCATAGAATATCAAATATATTCCCACAAGCCTGTAATAGCGAACAGTTGTACCTTGAAGCTGAAATCCATATCAATCGGAATAAAAATTGTTTTAAAAACTCCCTGTCCAAAGAAGTGATTTTAACTACAATTTCCAGTGTGCAATGTACATGCAAGGCGGCTCCGTCGGGTTCTTCATGGGCGACGTCCGAAGACTGTCCGATGACATGAAAGCCCTCAAGCCCACAGTTACACCTGCAGTGCCTCGACTTTTGAACCGCATCTACGACAAAGTGCAGGCGGACATCAATGGGAACTGCATCAAAAAGATGCTGTTCAACATGGCCTTAAGCTCAAAGGAGAGCGAACTGAAGAGGTAAGCCGGAAGCGCGCATCAAAGTGTCTCCAACGCCAACTAACACGATCATCACAGGGGCATCATACGGAAGAACAGCATGTGGGACATGATCGTGTTCAGAAAGGTGCAAGAAGGAATGGGCGGTCGGCTCAGATTGATGTTGGTCGGCTCAGCGCCGTTAGCCGACAACGTGCTCACTTTTGTACGCTGTGCCATGGGCTGCGTGGTAAGCAGAATAGACACCAGCCCTATTCAAGTAGTGAAACAATCAATGGGGAAGCTAAATTTGTGGACATTTCCAGGTGGTCGAAGGCTACGGCCAAACAGAGTGCTGCGCCCCGGTTACCCTAACCATACAGGGTGATCATGTGCCTGGACACGTGGGGCCTCCTCTAGCATGCTGCTGCATCAAGCTGTCTGATGTCCCGGAAATGGAATATTGGTCCAGGAACAATCAGGGCGAAGTATGCGTTAAAGGTACGTAGTTGCTCAGATGGTTCAACCAATTTTATGTGCCACTACCAAGTAGCGCTCAAACTACTGCATTTTTCACTGTTAAAAGCGCCTCAAACTTCTGGAATTCAAGCATTTTTTGAAAAAACTGCCAACATTTCCTTATCGATGGTTCACTTGCTAAAAAGGCCATTTATTTCTGGCTAGAATGACGTACAAATGAGCGTTCTTGCTCATTTTGCCTCCGAGATATGAGCAAAAACGGGACGGAAAACATGAAATTTTGGCATAATCTTGCACCGAAGTGTCTGATATT